TCCAGGGGGCTGGCTTTCCTGGAGCTGTGCAGCTCTGAGTTCTGCCTGTGCACAGGAAGGGATGGGGAGACTCTGGGGGTCCTGGAATGCTGGGTTCAACTCTGTGGGGCGGGGAAGAGATCCCAGTGGAGGACATGGGGTGGGGTTCCAGGCGCCAGTACACAGTTTCTGGTCACCATGGCAACCTGGAAGTTGTCAAGCCCTGCCTTAACCTAAAATAGGAACATAGAAAAGTGGCAGCAGAAAAAAGATCAAAGTGGTCCATCGAGTCTGCCTGTTTTTTTTTTTGTATGGTTTGGTGTTTTTTTTTAACACTTTTTGGTTTTATTGTTCGTTTTTTGGGGGGAGGGTTTATTTTGCGGTTTTTGGGCATTTTTTTGTTTGTTTTTTTTCTGTCCAAGTATAGATCTTGGTTTGTCCCAAGCATGTTTGAAACCGCTTACTGTTGACTGACTCACTACCTCAACCAAACATCAACTAAAATAATAATAATACTTTCTAAGATTAGCTTTGAACTTTCCTCCAGTTAGTTTGAGGTCATGTCCCTGCGTTCTTGATCTTCATTTCATATTGAAAATACTGCCCTCCTGAACCTTATTCACCCCCTTGATGTATTTAAAGGTTTCAAATCAGGACCCCCCCCCCATTCCCCGCTTTTCTCCAGACTGTACATATTAAGTTCCAGAAGTTGCTCTGGACATGTTTTATCCCTCAGACCTTTCACCATTTTTGTTACCTGTCTCTGGACTTGTTCCATCTTATCAATATATGTTTGTAAGAGAAGTCTCCAGAACTGGACACAGTATTCTAAATGAGATCTAACTAAAGATATATATAGGGGAATCAGGACCTCCTACTGGTAACCCCTCTAGTAAAGCATCCTAGAATTCTGTTCACTTTTCCCACTGCCTGGTCACACTGTTTGCACATATTGCAATCATCTGAAATAAGCGCCCCCAAATATTTCCTCTGTAGTGCTGGCCAACACTGTACACCCAGATTCATTTTCAAACCCTACCCAGTTCCTAACACTGTTGACATAGCAAAGTGCACTTTAATAAACTTAAAATGTGTTCACTTGGAATACTCAATGTGCAAGAGAAATTAAAAACAAAAAAAAAAAAAAGTGAAAGTTTTTCTGAAACATGAATGGGTATTTAAAGTGAAAAACACGTTTACCAATATGTACTTTAAGTGTTAGGAAACCGGCCTCTACCCTATTAGTATCCTTTTGCCGCCCGGCCAATGGCCATTTGGCAGCCGGAAAATACCCTCAGCATTCCGGGTGGACGCCTGAAGAGCCGTGCAGCGGCGCGATCTGTCACCGGCCATGTACCTCAGACACAGCCGATAACAGATCTGAGTACCGGCCCTGTTACCGGTACCATGTGACCTGCTGTGACCAATCACAGCAGGTCACATGACAGTTGTATACAATGGATGGCTTCATTCATGCCATCCATTGTATACTTGTGTGCCTAGCTGTGAATGGTCACAGCGATCACATGCACAAGCTGGGCCAATCACAGCCCAGCTGTGTCATGTGATTAGCCGTGGCCAAATCACAGCTAAGCACAAAAAAAAAAAAAAAAAACCCTGAATGAATCGATGTCATTCAGGTAAATGTTTGCTTATAGCAAAGTAATTCTTTGCTGTAAGCAAATTGTGTATGGTCTATGGTAACAGTGTACTACTTTGGTCATAGTGAAATATGAAAAAAAAAATCTTAAAAAAAAAAAAAAAATAAAAAATTAAGAATAATAAAAAATTAAAATTTTTTTTTTTTTTTTCATACTGTCAGTGTCCCTGATCACCACCATGCCAGTTATATGATGACGCTGTACTGCACTGGTGACCGTATGTAAAAAAAATAGTGAAAATAATTTTTTTAATCTGTTAATTTTCTGAAAAAATATTACAAAAAAATACAACTTCAAAAAACTCGCCATGCCTCTTATGAATTACGTCAGACTGTCTACTTTGCAAAATGGTCATTTGGGGGATATCTGTACTGTTCTGACATTCTTGGACCTCAATAAATTAGATTGGCCGTCAGTACTTCAGGATTGATCAATTTTCAGATCTATACCATAGTTTGTGAACTCTATAACTTTCCTACAAACTAAATAATACATCCTAATTTGGGTTATTTTTACCAAAGACGTAGCAGAATACATCTCGGCCTAAATTTATGAACAACAATTATTTCTTTGCAAAATTTTATAACAAAAACAAAGAAAAACGTGTTTTTTTTTTCAAAATGTTTGGTCTTTTTTTGTTAATTTAGTAAAAAATAAAAATCCCAGCGGTGATTAAATACCAACAAAAGAAAGCTTTAGCTGTGTGAAGAAAATGATAAAATTTTAGTTTGGGTACAATGTTGTATGACCGCGCAATTGTCATTCAAAGTGTGAGCGCTGAAACCTGAGAAATGGCCTGGGCAGGAAGGGGGTAAAAGTGCCCTGTATTGAAATGGTTAAATAGACCCCACTGCCATTAGTTCAAACTCGGCCTTACTCTACTAAAAATGAGTTTATGTGTGTGTCATTTTCCCTGTTGGAGTGATTTCCCCTCACTCTTGGTGCTCAAGGAATTAGAGGAAGAGGAGGAATCTCCCCAATAGGGATACCAAAGGTTTTTTTTTTTTTTTTTTTAGGCTCCAGGCAGCAGTTAGTGTCACTGAGACTTTAGTAAGGATTGGCAACATGTTTCTTATGGGAAAGTGAAGCTGAACTGTACAATGAACTTGCTTTCTCCATGCAAGACAAAGCAATAGGTTCGATATACTACCACCCTCCGCAGTGGGACCTTCCTTGTATTCCATCAGTCTAATCACCTACTTGGAGAAAGAAAGCTCAAAGTCACTTTAGTTGGAGCTTACACTGGACTGAACAATGCCTACCCACCTCCATATGACATCACTGAGCACCTGCTTGGACAAGCACAGGTTTGCTTCACGGGAAGCAGCATCATCAGTCTTTCACGAAGTCACATTTACAAACTTTTAATTTGAAAAAGTTTACTTGTATATTGCTGTACTATTAAATAATTTTAAGAGGACGACATCTTCAGCATTTTTCCAACAAACTATAACTACAAAACTGATCATTCTGTTAGGATATCTCTCCTCCTCTTACAGTAGGACACAACACAGAATAAACAAGAAAAGGATTATACAAGGTTAGGAGCAAGTTTTTGTTGAAGAAACTGCATTTGGTTATGGGCGATATATTTTTACTGGGTTCCAGGGGCTTTCATAAAACCAAGTGGGTATAAACAGTGAATATAAACCTTTAAGTGCTGAAATTTCACTTTGATAGAAGGTATGTGTGGCCAAGGGAAATACTTTGTCAAAGTAATGAGGGCACAACATTTTTAAAGCAAAGGACGAATGGTAACAGTTTCAAATATTTTTGTGTCGGAGAAGCAATTTAAACTACTCAACCAGCATAATTTTTAATTATAGGGCCTTGCAGGCAGACAGACCCTGGAATTCCAGATTTGTACCACAATATAATGGTGAAATGTGTTTACATTGGTAGCGCAGATATCATGGGTTATCTAGCAACCATTTGTGTTTTAAAAACCAGATGGAGACATCAGTGCTGCTTGACGATTGTGTAATTTCAGTATTTTTTTCAATCCATTAGTTTAATGTTTCTCTAAAATAAATTTTCATGTGATTATAAAAAACTTGACCTGCTTGCTCTGGTTTACTTTCATGATCATATTGCACATAGAGAGATGTAAGCACACTGTCTACTGGCTATCCCCACACAATGTAATCAGCTTCCTTGCTTAATAATAGAGCAAGTAAATCAGAAGTGTTAGAATGTATTGTTTTCACAACTAAATTTCATGCTGTCTATATTTGATGTTATATGTAAGCCATGGTATTTTTTTTTTTTTTCTTATGGAAAAAATGTGTGTGTACATTTTTAGCAGAACAAAATCAGGTCTGATTTGCAGGGACACAAATTAGCATGACAGAAACCCTTTCATAGGTATGCAATCACTTTGCACTTGTTAAGTGTTTTTGATGTTCATGCAGTACATGCAAAATGTCATATAGAGCATCCAACATAACTGCGGAGACTTGATGATGCTGGCAAACAGTAGGAGCTGAGCGCCTATTAGCAACATCCTAGCAACAAGGCAGGATGGGATGATGGGGCCACTGGGAATTTTTCAGCCAGGCTTCAGGAGACATGTAAACGGCCTGCACCTACAGCAAGGGCATTATTAAACTTTAGTCAAAGCTGCACAGTTTGTTCTCCTCTACAGATACCCTTACCTACAGAGTTTTTTGGACAGTGAACTATGCCTTTAAGCCCAGAGCAAGTAGGTCTACTTCCCCATTTGCACTGGAAGCCTCAGTTTTCAGTTTTGACTGAAGACTTACACTCTTTCAAAATAAAGAATTACTTCTACTTGGTAAGTTTTAAAATAAAACAAAAAGCAGTGAGGGGTTAGAACCACTTCAGGATTTTATTGCTTTCCCTGCTGTCGGGGATTCATTCTCTCTAACTGCCCTGACCACTAATGTCACTGGGAATGAAAGCAAGGGTAAACCCAATACTGTGAGTTGTCACCCCACAAAACAGAAATAGGAGGAAAAAAATCTTCCCAACAGGAAGAGGGGCTCTCCCGGACATTGGAAAGATATCCTTTCACTTCCTGACCTAATACTAATACAGTTTTAACCTCCCCTACTTTATTTAAAGTAATTCTAAAGTCTAAACATTTTTACCTTAACCACTAGCCTACAGGGCACTTATACCCCCTTCCTGCCCAGGCCAATTTCCAGCTCTCAGCGCTGTCACACTTTGAATGACAATTGCGCGGTCAAACAACACTGTACCCATATGAAATTTTTATCATTTTTTTGTGACAGATAGAGCTTTATTTTGGTGGTATGTAATCACTTCTGGGTTTTTTATTTTTTCTTAAACCAAAAACCACTGAAACTTTTGAAAAAAAAAAAATTTTCTTAGTTTTTGTTATAAAATTTTGTAAATAAGTGATTTTTCTCCTTCACTGATGTGCGCTAATGAGGCTGCACTGATGGGCACCGATAGGCTGCACTGATGGACACTGATAGGTGGCACTGGTAAGGAGGCACTGGTAGGTGGCATTGATGGGCATTGACAGGCATCACTGATGGGCACTGAAAGGCAGCACCGATACATGGCACTGATAGGCAGCACTGACAGGCGGCAGTGATAGGTGGCACTGAAAGGCAGCGCAGATGGGCACTGATATGTGGCATTGATGTGCACTGGTAGGCACTTATGAGCACTGACATAAGGCACTGATGGACACAGTGGCACTGCTGGGGCTACACTGATCATCAGGGCACACTGATCATCAGTGCTCTGATGATCAGTGTACATGTCCCCTCCGCGGAAAGCAGATTACCGGCTCTCCTCTCCTCACGAGCTGTCAGAGTGACAGCTCGAGAGGAGAGAAATGCCGATAACTGGCATTTCCCTGTTTACATGTGATCAGCTGTGATTGGACACAGCTGATCACATGACCGAGCCAACATCTTCGGCTCTTTCCGTGGTCGCGCACTGCCCCTTTCGCATCAGGGGTCGGCGCACTGCCCCTCCCCTCGCATCAGGGGTCGGCGCACTGCCCCTCCCCTCGCATCAGGGGTCGGCGCACTGCCCCTCCCCTCGCATCAGGGGGTCGGCGCACTGCCCCCCTCCTCGCATCAGGGGTCGGCGCACTGCCCCCCTCCTCGCATCAGGGGTCGGCGTACTGCCCCCCTCCTCGCATCAGGGGTCGGCGCACTGCCCCCCTCCTCGCATCAGGGGTCGGCGCACTGCCCCCCTCCTCGCATCAGGGGTCAGCACACTGCCCCCCTCCTCGCATCAGGGGTCAGCACACTGCCCCCCTCCTCGCATCAGGGGTCAGCCTAGTGCTCCCTCACATTCGTGGTTGGTGTAGTGCCCCCTCATATTCGTGGTTGGAGAGTAGTGCCCCCTCACATTCGTGGTTGGCGTAGTGTCCCCTCACATTCGTGGTTGGCGTAGTGTCCCCTCACATTCGTGGTTGGCGTAGTGTCCCCTCACATTCGTGGTTGGCGTAGTGTCCCCTCACATTCGTGGTCCGTATAGTGCCCTCCTTGCATTAGCAGGCAGTGTAGTGTCCCCTTACATTGTTGGGAAGTGTAGTGAGCAGAGAGAGGCTGTCTGACATTTGTAATGGGAAGCACCACCCCCATTAGATTTCCTCTATTCCTGATCCAGTGATATCTAGATAATTTACTCACTTTCAGTCATAGTCACAAAAAAAGAAAAAAAGTAAATCTCCCCATTGGTCAAAGCAAGGAAGCGGACTGCACACATTGAAAAAAATTACATTCAGGTCGAACGTATAAGAAAATCCCTTATCATTTTCTATAATTACATGTCACTGTAGCACATACTTCTGAACCAATTTAAAAAGTGTCATAGTGCAGCCATATAAAATCCTAAGACACTTCCCATGCATGACCTGTATCAGGCAAAGTTATATACCTTTCACATGTAGTCATGATGATTTACATAATGACAAAGCCAAGAATGAAAAGAAATACAAGGACTTCCTTATTTAAATACATACTGAAAAGACAACTATGAGCAAATGTATAAATGCCTCCTTTAAAGGAAGTATGTATATGTTATATATATTTTTTTGTCTTCCTCTTCCTTTACAATGCCCAGTACCTATGTTCTTGAACAGAATCCATGTGCAATATTAATTAAAAATATTAAATATTTACCACCTGCTGCCAACAGGTGGCAAGTTCCAAACAACTGTATCAGCTTGCTGGTGGCCAGATACTATACTAACCTGAATAGCAAAAAACAGATTTAGGGTGCTTTCACACCGGCGTTCCGTATGACCATTCTTCATCTGTCCGGTCACCCATGTATTTCTATGGATTAGCGGATGTAAACGGATGATCATCTGTTTACATCTGATATTTTCTGCATACGTTAACATCTGTTTTTTGAACGGAAGTAAACCCTATTTTTCTTCCATGAAAAAAAAGAAAACAGAATGGATAAAAAAAATGGATGAAGTGCATACGGTCCGTTTCTGCATCTGTTTTTAAAAAAACTGTTGTAAAACCAGGCAAGAAACGAATAGTTTTTTTTCTTTAAAAAAAAACGTAATTAAACTGATGAAAAACATGTGAAAGGACCCTTAGGCTACTGAAGCAGTCACAGAATAGGGACACACCCCCTCTCTTTCCCCTAGCAAAGACAGGGCTACCTAACTAAAGCTAGCCACGTACAAACCATATTTCAGTAGGTTCCTGATGACAGCCGAAAGTTGAGCCATAGGTGGCCCTATTCGCATCCTCCCACCCAAAACCCTCCAATCTAAAATTCGAAGGAGCTGGGCGGAAAATTGTTGACCAAAATGCAGTTACATACACTCACATACAGCCACTATTTGGGTATTCTGACAGCTGCCAGGAAAGATTTGTCCATGCATACTGTTAAGTGTTTCTAGGGAAAATGCTAAATTTCTTTTGTTCAGTCAGCTGTATGTGCTGGCACATAAAAATGCAGGGATTTTACGTTAGGCATTGTTTTACAGTACCAATAAAAGCTTTTGTTATATGTGTTCAATAAGTGCAAAAAATAAAAATCTGCTGATGTTGCCAAAAATCTTGTGTGCCGATAACTTCCTGTGCTCTACACCTCTGCTGGTTGTGGTCAGTTAGCACTGCTCCAAACTCTCCCTGTGTGACAATAATGCTCCTTCATAAATATAGTACAGTGATTGGGTACGGTCACACTAGAACAGTAATTGCATTACTGGCAGTATTACCAAGTGAAATAAGACCCATTGCTCACTGGAATGTTGCAGTGTTTCCTCCTGAGACTTTAGCACACCTGGGAGAGACAGGTGCAGTGCGTCAAAGTCTATGGTAGGCTTCAGCTGGATGGGGTGAACACTTTCCCAAATGGTACCAGCATTTAGCACCCCACCCACACAGGGGCGAGGTTCCAAAACACAGAAGCCCTGCGTTCTGAAACCTCCCTCCTGAATGGTGATGGGTGCCACACCTGTCCATCCCGGGAGGATTAAATAACCTGGGAGGGACGCACTGCAACTAAATACCCCAGCTTGCAAGGGGTCTAAGGGAAAAAAGCCAAAAAAGAAAAATACAGTCACTACAGCTGCAGTATATTAAATATTTATTCTCAGGTTTGAATACACTTTAATTAAGGGGCAACATTTAAAACACAAAGTAGCTATATTCCTATTCAATACACATGTCAAATGTTCCTGGTTCTCCATTACATTATCGCTTGGATACACCAGCTCAACAGAAGAGTCCCTCATTCATTTCACAGTGTTGCGAACAAGAATGAAAAGCTGAAGTCAGACTTGCAGCAACAGTGTCTGATCTGTAAAGACTCACAGATGTGAGAGAGTGTGAAGAGTAAGGCTGGCCATACACTATACAATTTTCTGTCCAATTTCCTTTAGATTTACCTTCAACTATGTGGTGCAAGAGCCTTCCTAATTACATACAATTGAAAGTGTTGTTAGGTTTGACCTCCTATTATATGGTTTTTGGTAAATCTAAACCAAAAATCTCAAGAAAATTGTATAATATATGGCCAGCCTTAGAGTGTTGGTTTCACACTGATCTTAGGAAAAACATGGAAACAATGCATATGCAATTTTACTGCAATCTTACCACGCTTAACCGTGATTTTGCCACCTTTTTTTTTTCTAGTCACAGGACATGTGACTAAAAATCATACCCGCAATTTCAACGGGGAGGTGTTTTTTTCGCACCAAAATATGCAGCAAGCAGAATTTTAAAAATGCACCTGACCCGCAATGGATCAGTGTGAAGTGTCCCATAGGAATACATGGTCACACATTTTTCCTCTTTTTTTTTTTTTTAATGCAAAAGTAGAAGGAAAAAAAAGGATCAGTGTGAAACCAGCCTGAAGCTGGTCATACACTGATTGAAATTTGGTCGGTCCAGCAGACAGTGGAAAAATTTTGATCAGTGTGTGACCATCTCCATTCAACAGAAGTTGATGATTTGATCGACTTCTGTCAAAGGGACATTCTGGAAAACCTTTGCCAATTAATGGCTGCGTTTGTCCTGCTGGCAGAATTTGTTGTCCTGGCAGGGTAGATTCCTCAATGCACCTCATTTGTGTGGACCCGCTAGCAAAACGAAAAGAAATTCACCATCTATGGGCAGTTTAAGAATCTGCAAAATCTTAGCTCTGAATTGTAGTGTCAAAATTTTGTACAACACAGAAAAACAAAAAGAAAATGGTGACTACAAGGGTGTACATATTTTAATCTTTTAGTATGGGGAAAAAAAAAAAAAAAAAACTATTTGTGCGTTTTAACTGCGTTTTTATTGCTTTCATGGAATTACCCTTTACTATGAGGCATATGTATGTTTACTTACCTTTTTTCCATTGCCAAGCAGTGTACTCTCAGTGTTGAGAGGTGACATACCGAGACTGCATTCTTGTAAAAGTCATTCTGGCAGGACAAGCTACACCTGTCCTCAGGCCTGCACTTACATTGAAGGTCCTGTCATTTCCGTTATTCCAATTTGAGTAGGCTAATCTGCTGTGGAATGTGTGAGCTCCCACATGCTGTGTATAATCTACATACATATGGCAAGCTGATCAAGATGTTCAAGAATACACATGTGATATGTAACAGGGTTTACTGTCATTAGTCACCCATGAGCTATGCATCTAATAAAACAGGCACATAGTGTTTCTACAGATGAACTGTTAAGAAATAATCTACAGAAAAAAATACTGTGAATTTGACCAGATTGTCTCTAATAAGGTACCTGTACAAAGCAGATAAATATCCCAATCAGGCCAGCAAAAATAAAAATCTTTAGCTCTGCTGTGGAGGGCTGGGCAGTCAGCTGTTTCTACTGTTTCCTAAATGCTACCAAGGTCAGGACACACTTGGCTACTACAAGAGTGCACGTCCATGGGCAGAACAGTTTGTTCAGATTGTGTAGAGTCATTTTATGACTATGTTCTGGCATTGACTGCTGTTTTTGTTTTTTTAAGTCATCAGCTACAAATACTATAGCTGCTGACTTTTAAGAATCAGGTGCTTACCAGTGCCTGGAGTCCAGCACTGTCTTCCTGCAGCCGGTTCTTCTACCTCTTTTGGGTCCCCAGCGCTGCCTTCTTGAATATGAGAACCAGCTGTGGCTTTCTAAGGAACCACAGCCAGATCCCCATTGTGCATGTGTGAGCTCGTGTGTTGCTTTGTGAATGGTCCTGCAGCCTCCTAGGACATGTGATGTGGCTGTGGGAGGGGATATGGCGGGGAAAGGGATGTCATCCTCGCTAGTCGAGGACTGTGGAAGTGGAAGCAGGTACCGATAAATTGGTACTCAATCCGACACTCCCCCAAAAAAGACCAGCCGGACTTCACTTTTTGAGTGAAGTTCCACTTTAAGTATATTGAC